ACAGAAATCAAAACCCAGGTAACGTTCAGCTCTGACGCCTTCACTCGCTTTGGGGCTCCTAGAGAGGAAGGACAGCCCAGCGGTCAGGGTGCTGGCCTGGGAGACCAGTCTTCAGTTCCTGGTTCTGCTACTGATTACTGTGTGACCTTGGGCCAGTCACTTAGCCTCTCTGGGCTTCAGTTCCCCCATCGGAACCATGGGGATAATTCCCCTTATGGGATAATCTGGGGGGTAAATCCATTAAAGATGGTGAGGTTCTCAGATACTAGTACTCAGATGACGGGGGCCATCTGAGTACTAATATAGATTGAGAGGGGTCCTCCCTCAGGGTCACTCAGCCCACACCCTAAATCTTCTCTGCCCAGAGAGCTGCTCCCCTCCCTTTACATGCATGTGGGGTAACAAGCCCTCTGGCTTGGTCAGGCAGCGGGACTCACCCCTTTCCCAGCAGCTGCTAGCAGGGTGGGGTGCTTCAGGCTGGGTAGCATCCCCCCTTCACTCTTGGTCTCTTTTTCTTCTCTTGCTGGGGAAAAGCTCTGTCCCGTTCTGTGAGGCTCCTCTCTGACAACAGTCAAAACACTGGCCCGGAAAAGGAAATACCAAGAACCTTTCTGAGCAATCGTGGGGGGGTGTCCCGGCAGGGGAGGGGGGACGGGATAGAGACAGAACCCCAAGCTTGTCTCATGACAGAATGATGCTGCCAGGCTGGAAAGTACCAGAGCAACGAAGCTGTTGAGTCATTTGTGACCAAGATTAGCCGTGCAAACAGGCGACCGTGGCTCAGACTATGGGGCTGAGCTGCTGGAATCTCTGAGGCTCAGCAGAAAGGATCTCAGAGAAAGCATAGTGCTGACTGCTCTACAAACCCTGGCCTGGGGCCCCGGCCAGCCGGATGCTATATAACCAGAGGCGCTGGAGCAGGCAGATATTACATGGAGGAAGCAGCAGTGCAGGCTGAGCTAGGTGAGTCCTGGGGCTGAATTTTCAACTTTTCCTATCGCCTCATCCATTCTCTCTCCTTTCCCAAGAGCCAGGCAGACCCAGCCTCCTTCCTGCCTAGCGCCAGGAGCTGAAATCCAACTGCCCAGGAGTGAGCCCTTTGCAAAGACAGAGTCATACACCACAGCTCTCAACTTGGGCCTTTCAACCCGTGACCAAGTGTCTCAGGTCACACATAGGGTGTGACAGCCAGAGACACGGACAAGAGAGTTGGGGAGGTTTCAGGTTAACACCCCCGCCCAGGAGCCTGGGGATCGGCCGCCTCCTTTGCGCTCTGCCATTTTCAGTGGAAATGGTTTCTTCACCTCAGCTATCTGCTGAGGGGCCAAGTAAAGTCTCTAGAGGATGCATGGACGGAGCAGGGAATCCGTGCCTGGAGGATCCAGCAGAGCATAGCTGGGTATGCAGGTGATGTCTCTGTTATACCTGGGCGGCGCTGCCTGGAGACGAGCTGTCACTCGTAGCGTTTAATATCTATATCGTGGTAACGCTCACACGCCCCAACTGGGACCTCACTCTGCTAGGTGCTGTGTAAACACTTAGGAAGACGTGTTCCCTACCCCACAGATCTTTGCACACCCAGACATGGAATACACCCACTCACACCCACCCAGACATAGAATACACCCACACACGCCCACATACGCACCCACACAGACATGGAATACACCCACGCAGACATGGAATATACCCACTCACACCCACCCAGACATGGAATACACCCACTCACACCCACCCAGACATGGAATACACCCACACACGCCCACATACGCACCCACCCAGACATGGAATACACCCATCCAGACATGGAATATACCCACTCACACCCACCCAGACATGGAATATACCCACTCACACCCACATACGCACCCACCCAGACATGGAATACACACACACATACACACCCACCCAGACATGGAATATACCCACTCACATCCACATACACACCCACCCAGACATGGAATACACACCCCCAGACACATAGTACACCTCCCCACTTACACACCTGCTCATACACACACACACATTATAAGCTCTTCCTCCTACAGTCTTGGAAGGAAAAGAGAGAGAACGTGTTTGGGTTCTGTTTCTGCATCGGGGGCGGGGGCGGGGGGTTGCTCCAATCCTGCTGTGATAGGGGTATATGGAGGGGGGGAAGGTAGTAGACAGAACTTCCCAATGACAACGTTTGAAAACTAAATTGTGTGAGAAGGACCCACAGAAACAACAGCCAAGCCAGGAGTGCAGCTAGACTGAGGCGCTCATCAAGGTTTTCGTATTTGCCAGCATTTCTGCTGTCAATTAACAATGCTACCAAGCAGGGGGGTAACACCACGTCCCCTTGTGGTGGAGGTACCTTGTAGCCATCCCTGGTGGGTGTTGTTACCTGTACGGGGTGATGTGACTGATCTCATACACCACAACCCCCAAATCCCTGCCCTTAGGGGAGGATGCTCATTGCCAGCACATCTGGCTGGAAGATCTGAGTCTACTCCCAGGAATTAACCCTGATCAGGCTAGCAGGGGGCTCCTGGCCACAGCAGGTGTCTGGTCTCCGCTGAGAGATAGCCCTGTTTGTGTAACAGATAAAAGAACCTTGAATGAATCAGCAGATCAACCCGGGTCTCTGGTCTCCTCTGCATGAATCCCCCTCAGCTGCAGGCCCAGGGGCAGGTGGGGAAAGGAGGCTTGCAGGTGGAAGGTCTTCCTTGGAAACAAACCTCCTCTTCCCAGGGGCACCCCAGGTCCAGGGGACCATCTCTGGGCACCAGTAAGGAGAAAATCACCAGCTGTTTGTCCCTAAATGCCAGGCCAGGTTCACATAACCCAGGCCAGGCTTCCTACAGAGCAGGGGGCATGAACAACCAGAGCACTGCCTGGGTTAAAGCCAACCGGGGGCGGGGGGATCAGCTCCATATGGCATCGAGAGCCCACACAACCCCCCCAAGCCACCAGCTCAGAACCTGTTCTTGCAAGAACCTGTACCCTATCGCGCTGTGTGTGTGTGTGTATACCTGTACCCTATCGCGCTGGGGTGTGTGTACCTGTACCCTATCACGCTGGTGTGTGTGTGTGTGTGTGTGTGTGTGTGTGTGTGTATACCTGTACCCTATCGCACTGGGGTGTGTGTGTGTACCTGTACCCTATCACGCTGGGGTGTGTGTGTGTGTATACCTGTACCCTATCGCACTGGTGTGTGTGTATACCTGTACCCTATCACACTGGGGTGTGCCTGTGTGTGTGTGTGTGTATATATATACACACCTGTACCAGTCTCCAACCACAGTGGGGTGTGAGGGAGTATGTTTACTTCTACCCCATCACGCTGGTGTGTGTGTGTGTGGGGGGGGTGTCTGTGTGTAGACCTGTCCCAACCCATGGTGGGGTGTC